TCTTAAGCAAGAAAGTTTCTATTATTTTATTTCAGTTGACTGTTTCAAATGTGCACATAACTCATGCAAATATTCAAGTGCTTGTCTATGGAAAGCAAGTCATGTGTTATGAACACATTTTGATGTCTATGCATGTCAAACATATGAAAAAAAAGTTTGACTTGAAATCATATATTGATATTTGAAATAAAACTATTATACTGTTATCAAAAGGCTAGTTTTTAAGGTCTCACAAAAAGAAGATAAGAGTTTATGAACTATAGATGTCGCGCGTGTGTTCTAATATGAACACTTCGATTGGATCATTTTCATTATCCATTAAAATAAACATCATCTTTTTTGTCTGTTGATCTATTTAAATAATGGAATGAAAAATATCAATATTAATTGATTCCATTTCAGAGTCAACTATCAATAGAATGCAAAATTCATCTGATCAATCGATAATTAGTTCACATTTAGTAAATTTATATTCTCAATTAGCTCTACTTGAAAAACAAAATGATAATACTTTAATAAATAATTCAAAACATTTAAAATCTTTATTAGATTCATATCATAATAATTATTTATATTTAAAAACTCGTTATAAAATTGAACAAGAACGTATTGATCATCGTTTTGATTCTGAAACACATTGTACACAAGCATATTTTACTGCTAAAAAAGCAGAATTAAAAGAACATTTACTTGATCGTCTTCGACGGAAACGTAAACTAGTTGTTGATGAAATACGTTCAGTTATTGATATACATTCACGTACATTTGATGTTGATCCATTATTTATTACAATGCAAAATCCACATCCATTACAAACAAAAGCATATAATTTTCGACAACGACCCGATATTGGACAACAAATATCAGCTATAAATGACGAAGAATTTATTTCTACAAATGGAATTCTACCATCAATATTACAACAACAAACAACACGTAAACGTCTTGTAGGTGCATTCAATATTTTTCAATCACCAAAATGGACTCTTAAAGATGAAGAATGTGAAGATGATTTTAAAATGATTTCATATAGTAGAAAATAATTTATATATATATATATATATAAATATGTATTTTATTTAAGAATCTGATAGATATATTTTCATATAATTGTAGATGATAATATTTGTTGTTTTACTTTATTTTTGAAAGAAAAAACAAAAGAACATTTTTCTTATCATGTGTTCAATTGAATCAATACAACGTTCTTCACATTCAACAACAAATAAATTATCAAATCGAAAAATATCATTAAAAATAATTGAAAAACGTTTAAATCATTTACGAGAAGAATTACATAATTTAACAAAAAAAGAAATCCGAAATTATGAACAACAAATTGATCAAGATGATAATTATCATGTGCAATATAAAAAACGTTTAGATCAATTATTGAGATTATATAATAAACAAGTATGAAAAATATTTTCAATAAAATAAGTAGATTTTTTTTAATTTCATTTTTATGATATAAATTTTTTATAAAATAAATAATAAAGAAAATTTTTTAAAAAATCGATAATTGAAGAATGATATTTGAATAAATGTTTTCTATAGAGAGAAAATGAGAGTAGTTTATTTACGAAGCTTATATTAAGTATTCTATATCCGCTTTCTTATGTTGAAAATTTGTTAAAACAAACTAATTTATTTATTTCTTTGATAGGATAAGACAGCTTTTCTATAAACACCTCTTTCAGAGTTGTATGTATATGTTTCTGAGAAAAACGCACTTTTTAGTCATGTCTATGACTGTATCTTCGATTACAAATCATCTGACAATTTTGAGTTTATGCTAAGCTGTTCTTAACATATTTTGAATGAGATGAACCCTCAAATCAACCTGTATTCTACAAGTAATTAACATCTATTCTAAAATCTTTTTCCTATTCTTTGCTTTTTGTGTAACAAAAATCTGAAACACATTAAGCATTAAGACCTCATTTTACAAACACTTTTCGAAAGAAAAAATATAAAAGGCAAGATTTTATATGTAGGATAGTTCATAAGTAGTTTTTACGATAAAAAATTTGAATATTTCCACTCTATTGGATTAAACTGTTTCAATGATAGAGGAGACTTCAGAGTTTTTTTTTCCATAAGAACAACATTTATAAATATTGTTTTGAAGCATCATGATTGGCGTCAATAATGAATTTCCATCTTTTACAACGTTGAAGATGAACCTAACAGATCCATGTGTGCATACATTCATCCTTCGAGTTATAACTCAAGCGTGGATTTCGTTCTGTGATACGTAGTTATTTTTTATTCTCTCGCCGCTAATATAAACATCTATCTTTTCTTAAGTATAGTGAAATAACAGTCAGAGCTACTTTGGCTTACACATTGGATATTCTTGCGGATGCGTATGGAAAAACCTCTGAAGTCTCCTCTATTACGAAAAATAAAAATTTAATCCCATAGAGTGAAACATAATGAAGATGTTTCGACTTTTGTTTGCTCCTATTTTCCTTTATTTCATAGGTTAATAATCTAAATCTTTGGCGTTATTATCGATCCGATACAATTGAAAAAATGTATGCACATGAATTACGTCAATCTGATGAAGTATTTCAAATGAAAAAAATTGATTTTAAATTAAAATTATTATCAACATTTAATGATAAACGTCGTCATTTAGAATATGAACATCAAAATGTTAATATTCGTCATCGTCGTAATTCTGATAATGATCAATATTTACTCAATGGAATAAATAATCATATAAATGATACAAATTTATATGATGGACACAATCATCATACAAATGAATCTACTCAACAACAACAACGACCAACTTATAATTTAAGACGAGCAGCTGCTAATGATATTATTTCAGAAAATTCTACAACATCAACAACAGCATCATTAAAAGATTTATCTATATTTAGTGGAACAAATTCTTTATTACCACCATTTGGTGGAATTGAATTACAAAGATCTTTATCAAATTCAGATATTGAACAAGATTTAAAAGAAATTCGTCGTGGTTTAAAGAATATTGAACCAATTATTGAAAAAAAATCATCTGAAAATCAAAATGATGATTCATCAATGAAATCTCATATTGATGTTCGTATTGAAGAAGGTCGTTTATGGTATCAACGAGCATGGTTTTCACGTAATTCACCAATACTTTTAGTTTTTGATGATCTTGAAATAGTTCCTGCACTTGTTTTAACAGTTGGTCGAAATGATTTACTCATACGTCGATCAGGTACAAATATAAAACATCGTGTTAGTCTTTCACTTTTACACGATGGACATTTAGCAATTCGAAAACGTGGTTGCGTATTTTAATCTATTGTACAAACGATCTTGTTTATCAGATTCTTTTTTTTTTTCTTCTTCTATAGTTTCATAAGAATACAAACAACAACTATATATAAATATATATATGAATGTGCTTATTTCGATTGTTAATTAACTTCTATTCTTTTTTTTTTTTTTTAAAATGTCATTATTCAATAAATTAACATGCAATTTTATATTTCATTTTTATCATTCAATTAATGATGTTAAGACAAGTTCTTATTCAAATAATATTCAATTGGATTTTTATGAGAAGGACAATATATGTGATTTTCAAACAAATGCAAGAAATAATTTCAAGTTCGCTATTCAAACATGAAAGTTTTTGTGATTAGAAGCTGTCATCGATTCTTCGTCGAGACATCTCTAGCTATTGGATATCTCAGATGATTAATGTTATATATTTCAAAATGTTTGCTGCTTGCAGAAAGCTATTAATCAAAGTTGGGCAGCTCACGAGGACATCAATCCAAATATCAAATCACTTTTCGATTGAGACGATATTTATTTGATGAGTGTTAGTAAGTTTTAGAAAAGTCTAGAATTGTTTGGTTTTCCAATCCTTCGTTCTTGAAATAGCGAAATTTTAATAGGTTTCCCAACATAAAGCTGTGGCCAACAACACTCATATTGCTTTGTACACAAAACATGTCGATCGACATCTCTGTGGATGAGCAGTATCATTGAAATGAAGAAATGCTGTGTTTTTATTTATTGTTTAAATGAAGCTAACAAAATGCTTATTCATATCAATTGCCAGGCGCATAAATCTTCCTTGAGAGCACAAGTAAAATTCGCGGGGAACAGTTCGACAGAAATTTAAGCTCAGTCAACTCGTGAGAAAATTTCTTTTGAGTCAGGACACTAGGAAGCTGCGGATTCTGCCAGACTCGAACTCAGATCCAAGCCTGCGTTCAAAATTTTAATTTTTTTTTCAGATTCGGGTCTAAAGCAGCTCCGCACTGAGCATGCCTTGTAATGCCTGATTAGAAGTAGACTCCGTAAATACAAATATAGATTAAGAGAATATCCGAAGAAAAACAGGATACTTTGTTGACGTATGAATAAATTAGAAATAAAATAAATAATGTAATTTAATATTCTCACAATTAGTCACTTGTTATCAACGATCGAACAATATAAACAAATAATTATTCTTCTCTCGTGGTCGAGCAAATAAATAGTAATTTATCGGCATCATTTATTGCAACAGCTTATATTTACAATTTCAATTTTGTCTTTTCTAATCGAAAGATATCAGTGACATCTGTTTCCAAAGTTTATTTATTGGTTAGGTTTTGACCTAAGACAAAAAATTTCACGTCACACATATATATATGCACAACGTGGACAAGCGACAGACCACGTAGTAAATCAAATACTCTATTCATTTAAAAATGGTTCTAATGACAATGATCGGCCGTGTTGCCGATGGTTTACCTCTTGCTGCATCTGTTCATAATGATATGCGTGATGAAGTAAGTGAATTGTTATTTATTTACTTGTGTTGATTTTGCTCTTTAATTTTACATGGTTAGTCGGGTCGTAATAGTAATGAATATCAAAATCAAGCAAAAAATATTCTTCGTCGTATAAATTCAAGTTCTCCATCAAAAGCAAGCATTGAAACCGATCCATATGTTTTTCAGTATATACATATATATGTTTTTTTTTGTCATTGAAATTCTTTTATTATTTTTTTCTTTTTAAATTTTTAAATTTTAGTTGTTTAATTGATCATGATGTTTGTTATATAACATTATGTGAAAAAATATTTCCACGTAAAAATGCGTATGCATATCTTGAAGATCTTGCACAAGAATTTATTGCACAATATGGACAAAAAATTCAATTAGCTGCTCGACCATATTCATTTATTGAATTTGGTTTGTTATAAAAATTTTCTTTTTAAATGAAATAGTTTCTTTTTTTTTCGTTTATTTTTCTTAGATAATTATATTCAAAAAATGAAAAAACAATATGCTGACACTCGAACATCTCGTGAAGCAATGGGCCGTTTAAGAACTGATTTACGTGATGTACAAAATATAATGGTTACAAATATTCAAGATGTCATGTCACGTGGTGAAACATTACAAGGTAAAAATAAGACGTTTTGTTATTTCATCCCAGATCAAATAAGCTCGACCATAAAAGGATAGTTCGATAGGTGTAGTATTACGACTGTTGCCAAGTCGAACAAGCATGTTCGCAAATGACCGTGAATTATCGTATATTTCGTCCTGGGTTATCAATTGTATACGTACGATCGTTATACTGTACCTAAAAAACATCAGTTGACCGCAAACTGCATGAGACTCTCGCCCTTCCCCAGATGGATGGATGTAGTTATCCTTAACGCTTTCATGTACGGCCTATTACAGTCTGATGCAGCACGTAAATTAGCCGAGCGTTCTCTGTTTACGGTCGTATATGTGTTGTAAGCTTGCTATGGTACGACAGTATTTCTGTGCCAGATATTATAACAGAGTACGTTCGGTTTATACGCCGTAGATTAACTATATCGTTCATCCTGGACAATTATTGGGGAACTCAACTGTATGAAACGACAGTACACATAGTATCGTTTTGACGACTGTAATCATCGTCCTGGAATAGATTTAATATGATTATTTTTATTTAGATCTTAATCGAAAAGCAACAAATCTTGCATCTATGTCTCAACAATATCGTAAAGATGCAAATTATTTAAATCGTATGTCATCATTAACAAAAATTGGTTTAACTGTTGGAAGTATTGTTATATTATCTATTATTGCTTATGTTTTTATTTTTTAAAATTTCTTTGTCTCGTTATCATCTTTAAATTTCATGTTTATTGTATTTATTTATGTGCATTCGTTATTATCCATTTAACAAAGAAATTGAAGAAAGAAAAAACAAGAACGAATTGATTGTAGATCTTTTTTTTTCTAATTCACTGGGTTTAATTGATGCTTATATTGTTTCACAGAAAATCTGAAAACCTTGATAACGATTGTATCTTTTTCTTTAAATAGAATTAAACATAATAAACAGATTGTTAGTACTCGTCAAGGTGTTATTGAATATATCTATCAATTATATTCGATGTTAAGCACTTCTATTTATTTTTTCTGATAAATAACATTCACTATATAGTAGTACTAAAGAAAGTTTTTGTGCATCATTATGAAAAGTAGCTATTTTTGTCTGCAAAAAATAAAACATCAAATGTGAACTATTGTATTCTAAAAACCAAAAAGAACAAATGTGTTGATACGTTCATTTTGTTTTGGATGAATTAGGTGTAGCTGGTGGTTGATGTTCATCACTATCTGAACGTTCAGATATTTGTCCTTGATCTGCCATTGGAGACGATTGATTTTTATCAGGAGAAAATAGAGGTGGATCGTATTGAGTACCAACTGATGAATTTTCTACATGTTTATATTGTTCAGGATAATATGGTAAATTTTGTTCATCAGTATGAAATGTTGGAATTGTATTAGATTGTTGAGTATAATATGGTTGTTGATATGAATGAATATTGTATTGAGCATTGATCTGATTAACTTTATCCGGTGGAACCATTCGACCTACCAATCGAATAGGAACTCCATTTCTAATACCAAAACGACTTAATGGTTCATTTGATCGTGAATGTAATTCTTGTCCTTGAAAGACAAGATTTTGCAGTGCACGTGGTACACGAAAATTATGTTCTACTGCATTCATTAAATCTTCAACAGTTGGTTCGGCACCACCATAGGCAGGTACAGATATTTCATGTATATCACCACCAAAATGAAGTTGAAGTTTAACACAAAAACTTATTGGATGATACATAACTTTATTCGAATAATTTTCTTATAAACATACAAAATAATAAATTAACAGTTTTATTCTTTTCAACTTTTTTTTTTTTGTTTCAATTTGCAAACAAAACGTTGCTAATGGAGTTCGAAGGTGACAAAGAAAAAAAAAGGAAGAAATGCCGATGTTTTTATTTGGTCCTATAAAATTCTGTTGTTTAAAGTTGTAACAAAGACAAATGATCAAAAATTTAAAAGAAAAAGAAAGAAAGAAAAAATAATCATGTTCATACAATCAAAACATAAGAAAATGTCAATGTCATTCTTTTTTTTGTACTATGATGTAAGAAAATTGATTTAAACACAAAAGAAGTTGTGTCTCTGATCATTACTATCACTAGAAATAATGAGCTTGAAATATTTGATGCTATTTTTTGAAGAAGTTACATGTTTCTGTTCAATTGAGAACCTAGAAACAAAGCAATCAAGATAAACAAGAAATAAATTATATTTTAATCTGAACAATAACATCAACAAGATAGACTTCTTGACAAAAACTACAATAAATACATTTAGTTATATTGATATCATAAGGAGTTGTTCGCCAGTGTTTTAGCCTAAATAAACATTCATTATTTTGTTTTCTATCATGCCATTGTAGTCAAGAGATAAACTGTTAACTAAAGTTTCTTACACATTTTACAAAGCTTACTACAGTACTAGTTCAGAATACAAGACCAACGTATTTTTTATTCTTTTTTTTTTTTACAATACCAAGCATGTAAATCAAATTTAAAGAATGATTTAAATATCCAATGATGGTTTCTGAAAAACCTAACACGGTAGTTTTCTGATCCCAAATGATCTTGTGAAAATAAGCTTTCAAAAGTATCGTCTCAACGAGCACAAAGTTCTGAATAAAATGAGAGATTGTCGCATTTCCTACGACCTTCTCTTAAAAAGTTCTAAGCATCACAAATAACAAAAACAATGCGTGTTCCGCAATGCTATGATCAATTTTTTTAAACAGAAGGTCATAGAATATGCGGTAATCGCTCATGTTATTCAGGATTTTGTGTTCTTTAATATGACATTCTTAAAAAGTAATCTTCACATAGCGTTTTGAGACCTGAAAAACTCCTGTCTTTGATTTTCTAGAAACCTTTCGTTCCTAGTCCATCTATGAAATCTCTCAGTATGAGATGCATTTGATAGAGAACTGTATTGGCTATTCAAACTACTATTTGAAATTGAGTTTAATGCTTGATATCGTAGAAAAAAAATCAAAAATACATTGGTCTTATATTTTTGATCAGTACTTGTAGTATTCACTCGTTGAGAAAAAATATCTTCAATTTTTTATCAAGTATATTATAAAAAAACGTACTTGTGATGGATAAATAGCTCCATAAAGTTTACATGCAATAGAACTTTTTTGACCTGATGTACAACGTCTGACAGTATGTTCATCTCGAAAATGCTACAAATAATCATCATCAATTTATATGAAAAAACCAACAAAACAAAAACTATCTTACTGACGAAAGTGGACCGATCTCCAATGGATAATTGTTGGTTGATGATTCACGTTATAATTAAACAAGAACAATCATAAAAGCAATGCAATATACTTAAATAATGTCATTAATTCTATAATAAACTTTTGAGCATATCAAGTGATAGTAATGATTCACCGATATTCACTAATTAAAAAAAAATGAAAATAGATTATTATATATTTTCAAAATCAAACAGAGAAATGTTATCTTAATATTTAAGAACTGAATCTTCATTGGCTTTATATTTTTTAAGTGCTTTTTGTAGTTATTTTTCAAGATGAATTGGGATAGAATTTTTGCATAGGCGTTCAAGCCACAAGGCTGCTCTAGATTCATACATTGTAGGTTAGAATAGGCTCAAACATTATTTTCATCTTCCATCAGATTGATAGATTTGCGCAATACATCACAATTCTTGTACAACCGTCAAAAGTTTTCACCGCCTACGACAGCTCATAATAACATTTTCTTAGTCAGTCAAACTAAGGAAACATTGAGTTTTGTATAAATATATTGGCAATGACTTGAAATGAGGATTCTTTATTACAAGTGAAAAAGGACTGTACGAAAAATCTGAGTCAGATTAACATGCCTATTAAACGTTTTCAACAGCGAACAAAGTCACAATGAAATATCTTTTTTTTTTTTAATGAACATTTCTCCTTAGCTATTAAAACTTGTTTTTTGCAGTAAACCAAATCATAAACTCTTCTTTCGAAGATCGTATTTGAATGAATATAAACCTTCGCATGTTCCTTCAAACGCAAATTGCGATTTTTTTCCTGATTTTCTTCTCATTTTTAATCTTCAAACTTCGATCTTATAAAACAATGTTAAGTACACCCTAGAATCAAAATTTCCGCTACCGATGAACTTTTGAATAATTCTCAAGAATGACGTTCACTATTGTTGTTTTGACAAAAAAATCTGATGGAGTAATAAATCAAATTGAGGAGAAACTGCCAATGAAAAATTAACATATTAATATATATTTAGAAATGAAATATTTTTCAAATTATCAATACACAAAAGCTTAGTTAAACTTGATAATGTGATTCGTTTTCTAATAAAAATTTTTTTCTAACAAAAAACAAAAAAACTTGCAATAAATATTTGATTGTGGCGCCCTCGTATAGAAAAATAAATTCCATTTTTTCAATAGATTTATGATTGTATTTAAGATTTACTTCTTTTTTTTTGTCAAAGTTCAACATAAAATCAATAATATGTTTGATATTACTTTCAATTAACTTATAATTGGTTAAATAATCAAAGACAGAAAGAAATGGAGAAAAAGACGACAGAAAGAGTAAATGACGTCTTTTATAGCAAAAGCATTTTCTCATTGATATTACTCGTAATTTCAATTATCTTAATCGAGATATTCAATATAAACACTATGTTGTTGTTTTTTATTTCAAAAACAAACAAAAAATTATAAATAGATAAAAATAGTTTCATACATAAATCTATTTATGGGTTTGTTTATTTACAAAAGAAAAACAAAAAAAAAAGAGAAAATCTTCTTATCATATAAAGTTATCTCATTCGAATTGTCAAAGATCAAGATAAAATAATCGAACTAAATTCAAAACAATGACTCATCTAAATCATTCTAATAATGGTCAAATATATTAATGACTCATACAAAATTTGTTTTCTTTTTTCAGAAATAAACAACAATAACAACAACCAGGGTTATGTCATCAGAATGGCCCGATGCACAACTATCAAATATACAAAAGGGTACGTAAATAAAACATGTTGAAATTTTTTTTGTTTTTTGATTTTATTTTTTGTTTTTTAGCTTTACAAAATAGTTGGCAAATTCCATATATATCTTTATTTGCACGTATTTTTTGTGATGCTTTTCAATTGTTTGATTTTCATCAAGAAGAATTAGAAGATGCTTTATTATCGGATAATCCAAATGAAATACATCCATTTCTACAAGAACTTCTCATATCACTTCTCTCCGGATTGACACGTTTACATGTCAAGTAAAATAATTTTGTGTATAACTAAATAATTTTAAATAATTCTTTTGTTTCGTTTTTTTTTCTAGTTCAAGTAATATGTTTGTTATACTTACCAATGTACTCAAGCGATGTGATCTGAATATTAATTCTACAATTCCATCAACTACAATGACAATATCTGATGATTCAATAACAACAGCTGAATGGCACGAAATGTCTATTTTTGAAAAAGTTACTGTACTTCGTGCTTTATGTGATGCACGATTAAATAAAGCTGATATTGATCAAGTAACTGAGGTAAGAATATAATGAAATAATAATTTCTATTCGTCTTGTTGGCCTCTCTCTTTCTTTAGAATATGCCAGCTGATTCTCTTCGTTTTGAACCATTTGGTGAAGATTCACGTGGAAATAAATTATGGTATTTTGCTGATACAAGACTTTATTGTGAGTCATGGAATAAAAATACTGAGTAAGTGTTCGATAAATTCTCAACATAGATACTACAGCAGTGAACAGAACAAATCCGCTCAAGCCCATCTTGGCCACTATATGTGCTCGAGGTCGAAAAAATTCAGTACACGTAATTCACCAAGAATCCAGATCATTCGTATTGCAGAGGCATTATTACTAAAATACAAAGAGTTATGATAGACGGCACCCATTTTGTGGTACTCTCATAGATCTTCAAAGAAAATAATGAGCATAAGTTGACGTCGAGATTTTTGTGGCTTCCCGAGGCCCTAGCACGGAGAAGAGTATGTCAGTAATAAAAGTGCTTATGAGGGAAGTCACTTAACTGATTAATTACTTTTGAGTCGAAACTATGTACATCATGTAGACTCAAAAGAGATATGAATATTCAGAAAATACTTCAGACCTTTAGCTTATTGCTGCTGAGATACTGCATTTTTATAGCAGTTTTTAAATGAGTGACGTGGTTCCCCTTAGGAAACCAAATTTTCGAATTTCGACTTAAAACTTTGTACAGAGATAAGCTTTAATTTCTATCCTGAAATAAGAATATCAAATCAGTCCGTGCATATAAGCGAGGTTAAAAGACACACTTTTACCATAGCAACATCTTAGAATAGGAATGAAAGAACAAGATTTGAAACATTGAAAAGAAACTGTTCTCATTAAGGATTGTCTCGATACAAAGTTTCAAGTCAAAATTCGAAAATCAGTTTTCCTAATGTTTCTGAGGAGGACTATGTTATTCGGCTAAAAAGATACCATTAAAGTGCAGTATTTCCGCAGTAATACGCTAAGTATCAATTAGTAAGGTGTCTAAAGTTTTTTTCAATATAAACGTGTTAAATGAATCTAATAATTTGAGAGAATTTTCGAAATGATAAAATTTTAGAGCATGTCGCATCAACTATTAAAATTGTTATTATTTTTTTTTATTCATTTATTTGGAATAACAGAGTTTGCCAGTTCTATAACATTGGCTTCTCATGAAATTACACTGACAAATTGTTTTACTCTGAGCAGTATAACCTAAAAAAAAAGACTACCTACAAAATTTTGCGTTGTTTCTTACAAAAAGTATAACTTATTGTTGATGTTTTTAAATGTAGTTAAAATCCCGTCTATAGTATCTATGTTCCATTTCTCTTTAGTACAAGATTTGATTCTGAAACTTGTAAGTGATATTGTCTAACTGTAGAGGAAATTTCTCAACAAATTTTGAACTCGTTTCATTGAACTATCACTGAATTATTGACTCTGAAAAAGTAGTAGATGGTTTTTCGCCACAATTATAAGCATAGTCTTTGAGAGAATTAATAAACTTCAACGAAATTAGTAATGCTGATAACAAAAATAGGTGTTACTCATCATAATTTTCTTTGTTATTAAACAGTAACGACGCTGAAATGCCAATGACGTAAGTTTTTGGTGAAGTACGTGTACACAAATTTGCAGATCTCCAGCACATACAGTGTCCGAGATCGGTTGGAGTAAAGACTTTTGTCCACTACTATATTTGTGAGACTTCTGAATATTGAAAAATTAATGATATTAATATATATGTTATTATGTTTCTAGAACATCAACATGGGAATGTGTATGTCGTACATTAGATGAATGGAATGTTTTTATTGAAAATTTTCGTAAATTATGTTCAAAAAAGAATTCGAGTATTAAAGATCGAAAATTATTAGAACGTTTAATAGCATTAAATGCTGATTTACCAGATATATATTCACGTAAAGATCGTGAAAGACATCGTCGTTGGACATCATATGAACCAAAACGTACATCAACACGTCTTGAAGCTAAACGACAACAACGTCTTGAATTAGAAGAAATAACACAAGAACAAAAAGCACGACATGATAAATTTCTTGAATTTAAACGACGACAAGAAGAAACTATTGCTAAAGAAAAAGAACGTCTAGAACGTGATGAACGTGTTAAAAGAAGAGAAGGTAAAGTATAGTATTTATAAATATCGAAAAAATAGACACTATATTTCGTATGTTCGTTTGTTTTTAGAACGTGCAGATCGTATTCGTCGACGAACAGCAGCTGGATCATTACAAGGTATTGATAGTTCAGAATTTTCAGAAAATAGCAATACATCATCAACATTAAATGATGAAAATCGTCATCCAATTGATACTAATGATATACATCAAAAAGGTATAAAATAAATATTTATATTTATAATTTCGAATTTTGTTTTATATTTAGTATTAACATTTTTAAGAACAAATGAAAATAGTTGGCCATTTCTTGAACCTGTTACTGAAGAATTAGCACCGAGTTATTTCTCAATAATACAGGTTATTAAAGAATTCTTTATAAAGTTATAATTCAAATCATGTGGCTTTTTTTTTGTTGCTTTTAGAATCCAATGGATCTTTCAAAGATACAACAA